ATTGCATTTCTTGTTTTCATTTTATTTTGATGCTATTTATATTTTTTATATTTTAAATGTTTTCCGTATTTTATATTAAATCTACTACGATTGTGAGAGATAGCTTCCCAGAATATTGTACCATTACGAATTTCTTTAATAACTATTACCATGTATTATCATTGTTGTATAATTAAAAATAATTTCCAGTAATACACTTCTCAACAAAATTAAAGCATCACTTACTCTATCCTCCAAAAATATTCAAAATTCAAGAGAGTGTAACTTCGTCAAAAAAGATTATATCGAGATGTTCAAAAACGCAAAAAAGCATTTTACAGCTTGAAATCTCTACTTTTCAAATCGGTACTTTAGAAAACGATCCTTCTGATTTTTTATGGAATTACATGGATAGAAAAGGAGACCCGACGAATCTCAAAATTTTTTACAAACTTTGACAAGTTCCATGGCGCGAATTAAAAAACGCATGCAAATGCAGTTTACAGCTTTCGAAAGAGTGAATCTTTACCTTTAATTTGCTTTTTTGTTGAGCGTTGTACGATTTTTTTTCACCGAGTATTCAACATTAAAGCAAAAATGGTCCTTTTTGCTTTAATTTGGAAAGTAGAAATTTCAAGCTGTAAAATGCTTTTTTGATCATCTTGATACGATCATTTTTGACAAAGTAACACTCTTGAATTTTGCCTATTTTTGGATGGTAAAGTAAGGTGATCTTTTATTTTTGGCATATGTATTCTGTAAATTTAAAATAGACAAGCTTCAAATGAGTGTAACTTTGTCAAAAATGATCATATCAAAATATTCAAAAAAGCATTTTACAGCTTGAAATCTCTACTTTTCAGATCGACACTTTAGAAAACAATTTTATTGATTTTTTATGGAATTACGTAGGTCCAAATGAAAATGCGTCAAATCTCCAAAAATGTGTACTAAATTTAAAAGGTTTCATGGCATAAACTAAAAATCGCACATAAATGCAGTTTACTGTTTTTGAAAGAGTGAATCTTTACCTTCAATTTGCTTTTTTGTTGAGCGTTGTATGATTTTTTAAAACATTTAAGCAAAAAGGACCATTTTTGCTTTAATGTTGAATAACTCGGTGAAAAAAAATCGTACAACGCTCAACAAAAAAGCAAATTAAAGGTAAAGATTCACTCTTTCGAAAGCTGTAAACTGCATTTGAATGCAATTTTTAATTCGCGCCATGGAACTTGTCAAAGTTCGTAAAAAATTTTGAGATTCGTCGGATCTCCTTTTCTATCCGTA